TCTTCCATGCAATATAATCACTGTCTGCCTACGATATGCAATTTATAAACATTACAGTCGAATTAAAATTTGTAGAAAATTACATAAAAGGAAAAAAATTATTTCTGGTCTCCTTTTAAACATTAGACAATACCAATCTCGAGCAGTTCTGGCAAACAATCAGCAGTCTGAATCTACTGAAAGGAAGGAAACAATTTAAACTTATTGAACTAACATTGAAAAAAATTCCAATGCAGACACTGAAAGGACATTCACTATTCTGAAAGTTCAGGCTGAATCCAGGGAAATGCTGGATCCAGTATCAATAATTCCTGCTACTAATATAATCCTGGCAGTGATCTACTGAGAAATGCAGAAAGTGCTATTGGTATATATAAGAGAAGTATAAATGAAAGCAAGTTACTTTGACAAGACTAATTTGCTGAGATGATATAATTATTTTAATTTTTAATTTTCTTTAAATGTATTGTAGTTTTTATTCATTTGCATGTTAAAAATTTTGTTGATCAAAACCCTTTCCCTTTTGAGATAAAAACTCCTTGATGAACTTTGGAAATCTGATCTATCCTTACATGGCATGTCTTTTCTGTCTTGTGTATGGGTTTGGGACATTTGACTACCACAGAATTGTATAGATACCTGTACTACAACAAATACATGTAAACTTGGGATAAAGGTATAATTTCAATATTTATATGATCAATTATCACTTTTCTTTGCATAAAAGTGCAAAAAATAATTAAGTAAATTTTTAGGCACAGTCAATTGATCTTGAGTCTGTCAGTATCTTACATTGAATCTTGTATTGAGTCAGGCATATCTATATTGTGTAGTGAATATTAGGAAAAGGTAACTCTTTGATATTCAAGCAACTTTTTCTGTTTAGAATTGTGTCTTCTGCGTGTTGTTGATATAAATAATTAAATATTGCAGTGGGCATAAAAATTACCAGACTTGAGATTTAGTTTAGCTGAACTTTTAGACTATCAAATATAAGTTTAAAAAATTGTGGATAAAATTCTTGACTATCAAATTTACAGTAAATTTTGGCCATACTACAGATTAAAGGCTTAGCCATATTTTGGCAGACGTACATATAGCACAGAGACTGACAACCAGGCTGTTTACCATCTTTTCATATACCAATGGGGGTAATGACAAGAGTGTCCAGGTGTATACCTGTGTACACTTTAGAATCGGTTCATGAGTCAACATTGCATGCATTTGGTAAATACCATGTTTTCAACCCTCTGGTATGCTTTGTTTCACCAAGGTACTTTGCATTATATAAAAAGTGAAGATACTGAGACAGGACATGTTTTTAATGTTATTATACATTGAAATTGGTATGATTTCCAGATCATTAAATTTAAATATAATATATACCTTCTCAGTTTTCACTACAAGTGTATTTTGCATTTAATATGCATTGATTTAAGATGATAGCTGTGCCAATGAAGCACATAATTTTGTACCTGTATTTATTACCTACCATCCCCCCACCCATTTTTTCAGATACATGCATTATTTTCTTCAGCTAACTGACCTGGTTGCTTTTAACTTTTTTCGGTTTATAACACAGTCAGGTTCTATGGCTCCCAACTGCTGTGTTATAGCAGGGTGACACTTTATATGTCTGCCTACAGCAGAGAGTTATCATAATGTGATGTCTGCTTGACCATCATTCCATTCATCAGTTCTCTATTCCATTTTCACATAATAAATGAATATGTTCTCTGTTGTATGCCAATGCAAAACTTTGTACATTGCTGGCATTTAGGATAAGGAAAAATATCAGAGGTGAAAGTCACACGGACTGAAAGGAGGAAACAGTTTTCACCAAGCTACTTATACTCTGTACCATGTGCATTGACAAATATTTGTAGATTGCTTGCACCTGGGGCAGAGAAGATTCCTATTGATGTTGGGGGTCAGAGTCAGACAGAGTCCAAGGAGGGAAACAGTTTCCACAAAATAACTAAAGGCCTGTGCCATGGACCATGACAAATTTTGTGGATCATTTTAATTTGATTCTGGAAAGGCACCTATTGATCGTTGAAATCTATAGGTCAGAGTTCAGCTTTACAGAAACTGAAAGAAAACCAGATTTTTTGCAAAAAAGTAGAGTTCACATTTTTTACCTTTACCAGTTTTTTGTGTGACTTGCCTTTAAGACCATGAAGACAACTTGATTTCTGGTTCAAAATGGTCAAGTACCTGACCAATAAAAAAGAAGTGATTTTTGTTTTTTTTTATAAAAAAAATTATACCATTCACCACTGGTGGATGTATTATCTACCTTAAACAGTACTCTTATTTAATTATGCTGCAATCATAAATAACCAGTATATCATGAGCCTAGGGATTGTTGACATCAGTAAATTATGATCAGCAAAGGCTTCATAAAAGGCAAAGTGGCTTAAACAGCAAATGTAATCAATGCAAGAAACTTTTATCACTCAATCAGTGGTTGTGAAAAGGCTGTTCTAAGATTATAGTCGCATATCTTTTGACAGTAAAAGTGAAAATCCTTTTCATTATAACTGTAAAGTCTCTTTGACACAGGTGTGAAGTGGGTTTTCTAGCCTGTTCATTTTATTCACTGTTTGATATGGATACAAAATATGTGGTTTACTATATATATCTATACTGTGTCTGCCAAGTGAGTGTCTAACTATTCTGAATATCATCACAGATTTTCTTTATTATATATATTCCTTGGACAGGTAAATTTGGTGAGTGTAATGCATTGAGATGAGGGATTGCATTTATTAGTAATTCTTCTGGTTTTTTTATAGCTGAGTTGGCTGTAAGACCAGGTGATCTTATGGTTTTACACCTGTCAAGTATAATATGCTGTCTGTTGTGTGTCCATCTTTTAACAGTTGTTTCTTATCACTATGAAATTTTTTCTGATCCATTTTCAATTAATTATCGAATATCAGTTTATAGAATGTAATTACAAGTTGAAAAATGAGCTTAATGTTCATTTATATTAAGGAGGTGATTTTGTGTTTGATTTGCTAACCTTGTTAACATTCTGGAGGCCATTTTGACAATAAAAGTATGATCAGACTTGGATCTATGTTTATATCAGTAAGCTCTTTGACAAATTTGTTATTGAATGAGATCCTTATATACTGAAATAATCTTGAATCTGATTGGCTGAGCTTGTTATCACTCTTGTGGCTCATTTCTGATTCATATTTTATTAGATTTTAAATATATGCTTATATCATTAAGAGTTTGGAGAAATTCAGTAATGAGCAAGATTCATGGATACTAATTACGTATTTGTCTGAACTTGTTACCAATCTGAAAGTCATATTTCTGATAGGAGTTTGATCAAACTTGATATGCAGGCTAATATTAGAGCTTAATGAAAACCAAATTATACTGTTTTGTGAAACATATTCAGATAGGATTCAGTTATTTGTTGATGGTTGATACATTTATCAAATTCCTCTCTTTTCTTTGTATGCATTGGTATTTAAGGACACCTGTTTCCAAGCCACATTTAAACATTGTGAATTCAACCACCTAAAATCTAAATAAATTAATTACATCAGGTAAATTTTCTGAAGATTCAGAAATAAGGAAATAAATAGTGTTGTTACTTTCCCTGTTTATTTTCAAATTCAGGATGGTCATAAATACTTCTTGTTTGCTGATTATTAGCACAGTGGCTGATTTTCTTCTCTTCATTTTCAAAGAAAAATAAGGTTCAGTTTCTACTAAAAGGCTCAACCATTGAGTAAGATTCTAACTTAACAGATCTGATCTTTTTTCAGCAGCAATGACTAAAGGGTTGAAGTATCTTTTCCTCCTCAATAAAGATTCAGCTGATATTTCAGTCTACCATTTTTAGGTGTATTGCATTAACTACCAAGAGAGCTTACCAGTTCCTTACCAATAAAAAAAAATCTGAATTTTTTATAATAAAATTATCAAATTTTTATAATAAAATTATAAAAAATAGCTGCCTGATGGGCAAGCCTAACTCATTCATCCTTAGAGGATGTGATGAAAGCCACATTTTGGTGCTCTCATATTTGCTTGTTAACTTTGCAAGGTGAAGAGATTTTCTCCTTGTGGCTTAATCATTACCACTCAGAGTGACCCATGTAGATTTTATCCTGCAGTTGTCTCCTGCTCTGTATTGATGATGAATAGTCCTTGACTTTGTTTTTATTCTCCAATTTTGCTGTGTAATATGAGCAGGTATGGTATTACTGATATTAAAATGCAGTTTAGGTATGGGTAAAGCCAATTTTAAAAATGTAATATTAAACTGTTACTCTTACCAGATTCCCACCTCCAGTTCTGTACTAATGTTCCACTAAGTTAAACTGCTTCCTTGGAAAATAATGAGGGGCATTACATATGCACATTGGGGAAGTGGCAGAGGCAGTTAAGTGATCTGGAATCTTCTGGTTGACCCTAATGGGAGGACAATTCTCATACAGTTGGGTGTAGGGGGGAATTTTCCATACAGAAAATACCAATTTGCTTAGCAACAAGTAAGTATTTTTATCCCCTAACTCCAACAACACATTGTTTGAATTTCAATTGATGTCATCTTTATATAATTTACCATTTTTAAATTTAATCATGTTTCCATCATTTATATTAAAAATGTTTTACATCTACTTACACCATATTTGGTTATCCAGCCTTTTTTTTTCAATGTAGTTAAATTTAAACCAGGTAAGAATTTGTTTCAAATTTTAGGGTTATCTCCTGCTATTAATAATTTAATTTTCTCCTATTAATAATTTATTTTTTTCCAAAACATTTTCACATTTTATCTCTACATTGATGTAACTTTTCACATGTTCATACCCTCAGGAAGATATTTGTGGTCAGTTAGTTATAAGTTGTAATTCCATTTTATGATGGGTTAATCTTTTCATGGTTATCTCCCTTGATTAGTCCATTTTCTTTTCTTTCTCAGTATTCCCTGATAATTTCCTTAATATACACCAAACAGAGCCAAAAGGGACTGCTCCAGTGGCTTAGTGATTAGATCATCTGCCTCAGGTGCAGGAGATCGTGGGTTTGAACCCCAGCCGAGTCACACCAAAGACTTATAAAAATGGTATTTTAACAGCTGCCTTGCTAAGTGCTCAGTATTAAGAGTTAGTGTTAGGACCGGTCAGCCTGATGTCAGTATATTGTGACTGGTTGGGACATCATGATTCATATCTGTGGCATGATGCCCCAGTGCATCACTATAAACTGCCACACTGAAGACATAGTAGTGATGTGACTGCAAAATTGTTAAAGCTGCATTATAAATCTAAAACACACACACACACACACACACACACACACACACACACACACACACACACACACAGAAGTACTATATCTGAATCCTAATAGAGGATTAACGATAACATGAGGTGAAATTATGTGGAAAATTAATATTTTCATACAGATTAGAGAACTATAATTTGGCATAAGTTGAAAATTAGACTTGAATGCACAAGTTTTGGCACCAATCTCCTTGCCTGCATGCAATATATTCACCCTACTCCCTTAAGTATGTGCACATCCCCCAGAAAGGATGAAACTTTGTTGTAATTATAGGTTGTCATGAATAGCAGGCTTACTTTTTTGACCTATTAATTGATATTGACTGAAATACAAAGTCACTCCAAATTTCTCTGATAGAAATCAAGGTACATGTTATTTTTGTAAGTACAAATAAACATCATAGTCGAATGTGTTATTCCTGGATTTTACATAACGTTGAAACAAATATGGAGAAAGGATATTATTGTTCAGGTTAAAGAATTATAATTTGTTTTCTACAGAGAATCTAACATGGTCTTGCAAGTTATGACTCCATCACCTTGCCTGCATCCAACCAACAACCAAACCCTCTCAAAACAATTCACATATCAAAAGCTGTTCACAGGTCAGTTATTATGCTATGTAATAACAGAAATCAACAGGACAATCTTTGATAAATTTGAATTGGCACAATTCATATTGCCACTGAATAAAATAAATGGCAAATATTTGTAACAATGTAAAATACAGTATCATGATATACAGTAATAAGATCCCCAAACTTTTTATTAAACAAGTAGATTTTGTTAGTGCTGGATGATATGACTGTTTCAATTTATCTTTATCTGATGATTTGTAATGAGAAGATGATATATAAATAGTCAAGTCAGCATTAGCTGAATTGCATAAAGGATATTATATGTTAAATTCCTTGGTAACACACAATAATGACCATGTTATTGACAGTTTATTAATTCCTTATGATATGGTTTAATTGTGAGGCAGTTTGTACCACATCAGGATTAATTTGAACTTGTGATATAAATTGAAGTTTCTAAAAATAGTATTTTCAGCATAAATTACTGGTACAGTTGGCAGATTCTGAAATCTCCAGAAATAGTCACAAGCTTCCTTATGGTAATGTGAATGAGAATTTTGCCAATTGTATAGCAACTCTTTAGTCAAAATGGAATTTATAAATTGTCTGTTAAGCCCAACTGAAGTGAAGAATTTATTCTTTAGTGATGTGTCAAATGTGTCAGGTCTGAAAAAGAAACTGAAAATCGGCTCTATGCAACAAAATAACAAAAATGGGTATATGTCAAATCTCCCTCCCTATTTTGTTGAGGTTGGTTGTCTGGTATTGGTTATCATTAGAGGTGATCGCCAATTATGTAATTTTTCTGGATCCAGTAAATATCAATATAAATTGTGAAGGTAATGATCTGAGATAATATATAGAATAAAACAACAAGAGCCTCCGTTACAAATTAAGACAAAACTGAATCAAACTTAATAACAATAAATTTTATAAACAATGGTGATGAGTTACAATTTGAAAGATACACTTCTTTCTTTTTTAATTAACTTATTCAATGAATTTCAAATATAAATGTGCTTATACCAATAGCCAATCTGTTAAGCGATAGAATTAGATCATCATCAAATTGAGTAAACATCGAAAACACTGCCTTGTGCAGATACATAACCTGTTGTCTTGATTCAGTCCAAATTCACAGCAACTGTCCCTTTGACCTCCTTGTGCCTGTAAGTCTCGGTCCTCTCCTATTTTCCCCTTTCTTTTCCAAACTCTCAGGTATCTAGCCACTTTCTGCCCTTCTAACTTACTGTGGTCCTATTAGTTTTGTAACTATATGTTACATCACGTCATGTGGAGCTATCATATTGTGTTTCCCAGCTCTTACTTCCAGAATTGTGTCTGCCGTTTTCCAGGAAATTCCTTTTTCCCTGGATATTTTTATGAGTGAATTTACTACCCTGAATCACTTATTTTTGTTTTCTCTTGCAGATAAAGTGTAGACAGATTTAGAATTTTGTGCTTAACACATTTAAATTGAGAGTTTTCATGTGGAACCAAGCTACTTGTACAGTCTGACCAATCCTCATGAAATATATTTCAAAACAATGCATTTCGTCTGACAACATAGATTATCAAATAGTTCCCTGCAATATTTCAAATCTAACAACTTCACTACAGATCGAAAATTAACCCTCAACTGTCTGGTTTAAACAAATGTAGCCCTTTATTAATAATCACTAAACTCATGACAGAGACAGTACCAACCCATGCATTATGGCAATTTAAACATATGCAGGTCCCCATAAATCTTAATTTATCATACACGTGTCTACCTAAATGTGTTCTACAGAGATTGACAGAAAAATTTGCCCCATTGCAGTATACTATATTATAATATTTACTGCTCACTTTCTTAAAAGCTTCCAATTCAGAAATACCTTGAGACTTCTGCAGATGTTTCTAGGATAAAGATGTTTATTTTTCATCCAGTAAGCATTTACTTCCTTCCAATAAACTGTAGACTTGAAACCGTTTTCGTAAAGTAATCACAGGAACTTGTACTAGTCTGTGAACTCTTATCTGTTGAAGAACTTACTTTGCAGAGATTTTTTGATAGGGAAAATGTAGAATAATGATGATGGGAAAAATGGTAGAATGGAATATTTTCCTTAATTAACAGCAGTTTCAGCAGAAACATGTGAAATGGTCTCCAAATAGGATACTCTATTTGGAATCAGTTTGCACTCTGTGCTGAGAGATCTTTGATATTATATGTTAGAAAGCAATATTTGGGTGGCTTTTTTCAGAGAAAATGTGAAAAAGGAATCAAGTTAGAAGTTGAAAAACTCAACAAGGAAAACAAGGAAGTTTTCACCTCAGCAACTGATAAGAAACAAGCAGCAGTAGAAGAGAGAACAACTATGGATACAGCTAGCCTCATTGAAAAGAAGGATATGCTGAACATTGGCTTGAATGTTGTTGTTAATGGAGAAAAAAGTCCTTCCAAACAGGTAATAAATTATTAACTCTGTTTAGTGATGACAATTAAGCAAGGAAACTGCATGCAAAAATAATTTTGAAAAATCACATGAAACACATTTGATAGTTGAAGTTTTTGTCAAAGACTTACTAATTTAAGATATCTGAGAACTTTAATAATAGTAAAATGTACTACTCATGATAAACTACGACTATGGAGGAGTTATACTTAGCACACCCATTATTATTCTCCACTTGAAGTAGATACTGAAAGTAATTTTCGGACAGCTTGAGAGTGTGATTGCTCTTAGAGTAAATTACACAAAGTAAACATCCTAATAGCCTGCATAACAAAAAATTTGTTATTTTGGGCTCATTGTGTGAATGATCATATGAACTTTTAAGCTTTTTTAAGCATCCTTTACAATAAAAGCATACTTAAAAGATGCTAAAGCCATACATTTGTGATATACACCTGATACTTGTGTTAAATTCTCTGTATAAATTTTTTGTAATTGCCAGATTTTTTAATAAATAACATTAGTTGTCTGTTTAAATGCATTTGTGACATGGTTATAGGAAGTGTTTAGAGTTGAATGTTAACCAATATTCATGTACAAAAATGCATGTAGGCTTTAACTATGTTTTGAAAGGTATATCATGATTATAATATAACTTATATTGACCTTTAGTTGATCTTTTCTACTAAACTGATTGCACCTACAATGGATCATGTGTTAGGAATATTTAAATTGTTTTGTTTAATGTATACATTTGATACTGCTGTATCAGACTTTCCACAGCTAGTCTGTTAATGTTGTTTTGTACTTTTGCAGCATTAAAAAAGTATTGTATTATATATGCTCTTACATCATGGAATATCTAAATTTGAACCTGTCTGATTGTCCTGAGAGGCACTAGCACATTTACAGGGAATTACTCAGCATCGATGAATACAATATACACCACTCCCTCGATAACTCGCGCCCGGATAACTTGCAAACCCGCTTATAATGCGGTGTCCGGCATGGCTCCCGATTTTTTTTTTCCAAGGAAAATATATTTTAAAATGTGTTAAACATGAAAAAAGTCGTGAAAGAAATTGTAAATTGGCAAATTTAACCTTGATACATAGTTCGTTTTTATCATTGAAAATGGTGATTACCATATTTTCCGGGGTATAAGTCGCTACTTTTTTTCGTTTTTTTTTTCTTAAAAACGATCTGTGCGACTTATATGCAGGAAAGACATATATGATAAATAATTTTTTTTAACGACTGTGACTGATGCGCAGTGATGCTGTGCTTTAGCGAAATGCATCTGCCGGTATACGGGCAAGCCAATTGCTGGAAACTTACATACGGTACACGTAAGTATTAGACTATAAGATTATCAAATTAAATAGTCAAATAATATTTAGTTATATATGTGTTAAAATTTGTTATTATTAATAAATAATAAAAAATATTGAAATAACGATTGCCATTGTATTTCCTTTATTAATCGGCATGTACATCTTAGAATCTTTCTGTCTCTAAATTTAGTCATTGTAAATTGCTATTGTGTCATGTTCTTTTGATGTACTCAAATAAATACAGAATGCAGAACTGGGATTATTTTGTTATTTTAAACAACAAATTATGTCACTGTAAAGCCGTTTCTGAGACCTCTGTTAGTGCTTCATAATTTACACAATCATTTTTTCGGTTGGTTTTGCAATGGCATGTTATAAAAAAAAAAAAAAACATAGCATGAATATT